CATTTTGGCCACAAACTCAGAGCAGATCACATGATCACGGGCTTGTCAAAAGGGTCAGATGGGGAAAGCTGTTGTTTGGTAGTCTTAGATGACTATTCAGGTGCGTTTGCCGCGTTTCCGCAAACTGAGCGGGACACCGATAGCAACATCAGGTGTCTTCAGCACTTTGAGCTCATGGTAAGGCACTGTGTCAGGTCAAAACCGACTGTGCAGAAGAGCCCAAGGGTGCCGTAGAGTACCTTGGATGGCTTCCAGATCCTAGTGTTCCAAATGATCAGATCCACAATCCAGTCACGGAAAGGAAGATCAGGAGCATTAAGGAAGCCGCTAGAGCTGTTCAGTTGAAATCTGGTTTGCCTCACCAGTTTTGGCCAAGAAGTGTCAAGTACGTGTGCACCGCATTAGCCGTGTCAACAAATGCGGCAATCCATCCAAATGATTCGGATGATGTCAAGAATCTCAAGGCCACTCAGAACGCATATGAAGCCGCGAGCGGCGGTGACACCTTCACAGGTTTGAAGCTGCCGTTTGGTTGCCTGGTGTTTTACAAGCCGCCCAAGCATCGAGAGCTTCCGGACTTCGAGCCGAGGACATACCCCGGCATATTCGTTGGCTGGAGGATCGACGCAGGGTACAAATTTAGGGGCATACACCTCGTCCTAGACTTTGAGTCGCTTCGCAAAAACACTCAGGGTTGTGGTAAGCCAATCCAAGTTTACGAAACAGAATTGGTCGAACCTTCAAATGGACATTGGGTTTTTCCCCTTTTTGAGGCAGAGCAACAAAGGCTTCAGCTGTTCAGTGCGAAATCAACCCCAACATCCATTTCAACCAGGAAGGCTTTGCCATTTGACGATGAAGTCCCAGATCCTGTCCCTAGGAGAAAACGAACCTATGTGACGTTGGAGAGGGCCATCAAATTTGGTAGAACCCCGGGTTGCAAAGGGTGTGAAAGGATCTCGGAAGGAGTACCGCACTCCGATGCATGTCACGACAGATTCCGTGTCCTCCTCGAGGATGAGAGGCTGGCACAGGAGGCCAAGGCTAAGGCCCGGGAAGAGGCAGCAGCAAGGGGGATACCGATGCCTCCGACTCCTGCTTCACGGGGTACACCGGTACCTCGTACTCCTGGATCTGGCCCAGCACCTTCGACACCAGTTCCGCCCACTCCAGCAGCAGTCATCACGCTAACCCAAAGGGCCAGTGAAGCAACCGATGCTCCTGGTACCACCGCCGTCGACTCTTGTCACAACTGTTCTTTTCAAGACTCTAAAAACAAAGGGCCAAGATCAGACGTCAAGGGGGCAAAGTCTTTGGTTGAGGGCAACTCCGAAACCAAGGATTATTGGGAGTTTGATGAAGCAAGGCACGCATGGGTACTAGTGCATTTAAGACCTAGAAAAAGGCTATTTGCACCAGTGGGTAAGGATTGTCCTTTCGACTCCAACGAGGTTGAGCCGGAACGCATCACCGAGTGGAGATGCAAGGGGAAGGTTTCCGTGCATAGGGACAACTGGCAAGAGACTCCGTATCAAAGGATTTCATCCAAAAGCTGGTTTGGTAAGACGTGGTTCTTTCCGAAAGGACGTGTGTCGCCAGATCAAGCGCAATTGTGTGCAGCCGCAGCCAACCCTTCAGACGGTAATCTCAGAGCTATGCAAAGGTTCATCGAGCAAGCCGGTGACAGCCAAGCACGAACTAGGAAGGCCAGAGAAATCCTTGAACTCACTAAGGACTTGGTCAAGCCTGCACGTGAAGACCGCAAAGGTCGAACGGCGAATCCGACACTCTTTGAGTTTTGTTGCGATGAGAACTCAACGTTGGGTCAGATCAACGAAGAAAGAGGAATCAACCATTTCCGACTCACAACAAAGAACTCTGACATGTCAAGCCAGTGGGAAAATGACAGTCTTTTGAAGGTCATAGAACAATTTCCCGGGTGTGATTTGTGGGGATCGATTCCTTGCGGCCCCTGGTCGCAATGGCAGAATGTAAATCTCCATCAATACGGAAAACCGTTTGCTAAGAAACTCAAGAAAATGCGCAAGCATTCTAGAAAAAAATTAGCAAACTACATTCGTTGCGCAGACAAAGTCCTCAGTCAAGGGGGCCACGTTGCCTTCGAGTGGCCGAAGACATGTGCCGGATGGGACTTGCCAGAGCTGATCAGGTTTGTCAAGAGGCATGACTTGTTCGTGGCGGAACCTCAAGGTTGTGCATTTGGACTCTGTGACCAAGAAGGTAAATGTCACCTCAAGACGTGGAGAGTTGTAACCTCTTCATGGAGGTTGGCTAAAAACCTAGACAGTGCCAAGTGCCAACATCCGCGTGCCTATAAGCATTCACCTCTTGCAGGCAGTAAGACACCTAGAAGTGCCTTTTACCCGATGCCTATGGCAAGGTGCAGTTCTCAGTCTCCACATCCCTGGATTGACGCACCGCCTGCAATGCCTGTGCAAGTGTCAGCTGGGCCAAACTCCGTGCAAGAGTTCCTGTGTGGCGACCACGCCCCAGAGGACGAGGCAGGTCATCAGGAGCTGCCGGGAGTAGAACATGTGTTTGCTGGCATCCACAAGTTGTTGGAGAGAAAAGAATGGGGTAACTTTCCTGGAGCGCAAGACGCCATTGACAATGAAGTGAATGGGCTAGTAGCTAACGGAACCTGGACTTTCGATGAGGTAATCTCAAAAGAGGACCCTTTGGCAAGATGTAAAAGGAACAAGGAGCATATCAACATTGCTTCCCTAATGACCATCTTGTCGATAAAGCATTGGGAAACCCCAGAACTCCGTAAACTCAAAGCCAGGACAGTTTTCCGAGGGGATCACATCCTCACGGAAGACAACAATCTTGCGGTGCTCCAAGAAGCAAAAGTCACTCCGACCTGAATGACCGGTGTCAACATCAATCTAGCATACGGCGCCATCAAGGGTCACGAAACTCGTCAATCAGACGTAGTAAAAGCCTACACCCAAGCGTACCTTGGGACAAAGGTGCCCACATGGGTGATCTTGCCTTGGGAATTGACTCCTCCTGAATACCGGCACTTCAAACAGCCATGTGTGAGGTTGGTTAGGAGCCTTTATGGCCATCCCGAATCAGGATACCATTGGGATCAAAGGCTAAGGGAAGTGATGAAACTTTTGGAAGGTCAACATGTTGATGAATTTCCATCTTCATTTTGGTTTCCACAAAGGAAGCCTCTTGTAACTTGCTACGTCGACGACACTCTGTGTTCAGGGCCGTCGTCAGAACAAAACAAGTTTTGGCAGGAGATCGAAAAGCATTTGGAGATCGAACCTCCAACTCAAGTTGAAGTGTGCTGGGCAGACAGCATAAGTTCGATCGGACCAATGGATCGACCAAGGTTTCGCTCGAAATGTTCGATTTCATCGAGAACGCATGTGCAGTGTATGAGGACTTGGCTCAATGTAAGTTGAGCACAGCTAAAAGTCCTTTCTGCTCAGAAGGTAGCCTTACAACCGCTGACTTTGAAAGTAAAGGGGTTTTGGCAACTTCTGCATGCAAAATCTTGATGAAAATCCTCTGGTGCGCTAGGCTAAGCCGACCCGACCTAATGAAAGGGATAGGGGATTTGACACGTAGGATTACCACTTGGAGTCGAGCAGATGATAAACGGCTCCATAGGCTAATGTGCTACCTGTATGGGTCAAAAGGGTACACTTTACAAGGACATATAGGCGACCCGCCAGAACTGCTCAAGCTGTGCTTGTACACAGATGCGGACCACTGTAGTGGCATAGAACACACAAAAAGCACGAGTGGCATGTTCTTGTCCATTGAGGGCCCTAACACCTTGTGGCCAATCGCGTGGGGCAGTAAACGCCAAACCGCGACTGCCAGGAGCACAACAGCAGCAGAGATGATCTCACTAGGATCAGGCCTTTTTGGCGAAGCATTGCCAGCACAAGGCTTCCTGGAATTGATCTTGGACCGTCAGGTCACGCTAGAGTGCTTTCAGGATAACTCAGCTGTAATCCAGATCGTGGCTGCGGGTTATAGCCCCAAATTGCGACACCTCACGAAGACGGAGAAGATCGAACTAGGTTCAGCTTATGAGGTCTTCGAAGATCCAAGTTGCAGACTCCTGTGCATAGCAACGGACAAGCAGAGAGCAGATGTGTTTACAAAACCATTGCCGGTGTGCAAGTGGGACCATGCACTAGACCTACTTAACATGGCATCCTTAAGCTCAACTTGCAAAGTGACATCTCGTGAAGCGGAAACGCTCCGAGACCCGTAGGCGTAGGCCAGATAGTTACATAACTAAACTGGAGTCTGCGTAGGACACTTTCCGAGTGTGAGAAGGGGGAGAAGAATGCCCCCTGCTGGAATCCACATCTTCCTGATGGTAGGTGGTGCATGCATGTCTAATTCAACCTTGCCCCCGGAATTCATGTTTGCTTGAACTTCCTTTTGAATCAGGTTTCCAGGGTTGACACTGATAACAAACATTCAGTTCGCCTTGGATGACTTGTACTTTTGGCTCAAGATAAAAGGAGGGTCGCGCGAGTGAAGCTTTCTGTGCCGCCATTGCACTTTTGGTTACGCTCTTCACTTCATTTGTCTTGATTCGTATTTCGTCTCATGAGCTATATAGCTGCATTTGCCTGTGTGATTCTGTGCTTTTTTGGATTCATCCAGTTTTACATGCATGTGAATTTGAATTGGGACCCTTTGGCTAGCATCATTTACACGGGGGTTTATGTCCATCAACCATTTTGGAGACTTCATGGAGACCCCCTGCAAGACTCTTCCAGGTGGCTTTCCCCATGCTTCGCATCAGTGGGAGGAACCAGCTTTGCGCCTACCCTGTCAAACTTGCGTATGTCATAGCGAGGAAGCTTTGGGCAGTTGTAGTCAAACGTGCCCAACATGTAGCATGTTCAAAACAATTGCCAATGTTAGAATGCCAGCGGCATGTACATTCTTATGATTATGCTTCAGGTTCAGTGGGAGTTAAAATTTGGCTTTGCCAGGGCATGGTGGGAAGCGGTGCGCAGCCAGCAGCGCTTCGGGGCGCGGCTTCAGCCGCCTGGCCTGAGACACTGAAGCACAAAAAGCAGCCCTGTACCAGAAGCAACGCAGGTCAAAAGGCTAACCGGGGAGGTCACCAAATTCTAGTTCTGGTCTTTTATAAATAAGTTGTTGCTAGCGAGGGAGCCACCAAACGCGCTTCGACACTGAGCGTGAATAGTTGGCCCTGTGCCACAGCTTAGACTCCGAATGTGTGCGCCCAGGCATGTCCGCTACAAGCAAAAGTGTACGAAAAAGCACTGAGACGGATCTGAAAAGAAACCAATCAGGCCGCCAAATCATGCGTGAGCAAGTCTTTCTTCTGGTTGGTCTTCTTAGCAGCTTTGAGTTGAAGACATACATGCCTGCAAGCTCTCCTCCAAGCCTCTGTAAGTGGAAAGGCTTTCCAACAACTAAGTAGCTGATGTTATGGAGCTATGGATGACTAAGCGGCTCTCAAGCGTAACCTGATCCCTTTAACATGTGTTCGATATTTATCAAGGTAGCGGGCATCTGAGGGTGCCAGAATATTTCCGAAATGCGTAGCAGAAGAAGGATATTTTCAGGTTGAGCGATGAAACCTCAAGTGAAATGGCAGCATCTCTGTTTCCATTTGGGGCATGCTTTCAAAACGGGCTCTCACGATGTTCCATGACAAAGCTCGCAGTCAGATGACTAAGGCTGTGCCTAGTCTCAGCGCAAGCGCAGCAGATGTGGGCGAAGGAGTCGGAGTTCCGCTCCTTTTTGCAGAGCCAAGGCATCCCCATGACTGTCACATACTCGCTGCCTTGCTGGCAAGTGTGTGTGTGTGTGATGTTTTTGTTTTTTTTTTGTGGTGGATGGGGCGCGAGATTGGGATGTGGTACTGCGCCTAGTTTTACTTGCGCTGACCCATTTGCCCAGGCTGGCTGCAGCAGGTGCTCGATCATAGGTGTCCTCTCAGGTCAGTTGGTTGAACATAGGTGGCGCTTTCAGTTTGGCTCTAGCCAACGCCTCCCTTCATTTTCGGACCCGCATGCGTTTAGAAGTCCGCATGGGTAGTTGCAAGCATGATTAGCGCATCGTGTTTATTTATGTGTGTGTGTGTGCGCAGGTATGTCATTGGAGCGCTTTGCGTTGCCTGCTTTCACCTTCATGTTGGCTCGCTGGTTTGAGGCACCCCGTAGTTCATTCAGGAGGGGGGCGCCCACAAGAAACTACAACTTTCGGGCACTCCCTATGATGAATCAACACGGAATCCTTTGTGGCAAGGTCAACATGGGCCCTGAACCGCTTTGGCTAGGCGCTGAAGCCAAGGGCTTGACCATGGATGACTTCAAGCAGCGGCTCGATTTGAGACAGCGCCCATTCATTGTTTGCTGCGCCGGGGGCATGGTTTGTGCTCAAAGCTGTGGCAGGGCTGTCTGCTCGGATCTGGCATGGAACTTTTTGACAGGAAAAGCAAGGGGGGAGTCATGTCTACAGACACCAGGCTAGGTTTTACCCGAGAGGGATGGCAGGGGCGCAGCCGAAGTTCCGCTCTGCACAACTGCCATTTGGCAGGTTGCCTGCGGATGAGAAGGCGGACCTGGAAGCAGCATGGGAGGCGCGCTCGGGCAGGCTGTTCTCACAGAGGGCTGAAGAGCTCCTGCCAGGGATGTCAATGCCGCGGCCCAGATCAACTCATGCCACCGCATGGCACAGGCTCAAAGGGTGCTATAACCCCAACATCTTTATGTGCCTAGGGCTGGGCTTTACGTTGGTCGTGCCATCTTATGCTCATACATATGGGGTTGTGTTTTATTGAGCCGCTTGCTGCAATCCGCGGTGCCGTGTTAAGCTTATGAGGAGGCAATTCGTCTTAATCTGCGGGCGCAGGCTTTGCTGCTGCTGTTCGGGGCTTCATTCCATCCGCATGTTTCCTGTTCAGTTCAGCTTGGATTTCAGCATGCCCACCCTTAGCAAGGCAGAAGGGTACTCTCGGCGTAGCTATTTCTTGTTGAGACTTTCAGCCAAGACACATACGCCACAGCATAATTAGCTGATATATGTTTCATATGTGTTTAGCATATTGTTGTGAACAACTGCAGCTGGTCCGAGAAGGGATCGCCTTCGTGGCTAGGTTTGGAAGGGTGCAGAGGCAGCGAAGTTGAAGCTCGAAGAGCAAAGGCGCCAAGAGGAGGACGAAGGGACTGAGGGTGGGGTGGGGGGGGAACGGACCTGATCAGCGTTCGAAGGATATCCCGGAGCCGGACTCAGAGAAATTGTCGCACACTACTTGGGGGATGCTGTTTTATTGTTTATTTTTGCATGCGCCCTGAAACTACCAGTCAAGGTCAGAGTTAATTGTAGCAGTAGGTCTTGGAGGGGTGAGCATTTTTATTTGATGAGTGGGTCCCTTCTTGAAACCAAGCTAGACGTGCCTGACAAAAGGCTTTGCAAATCCCAAGCTGCCATGCATTGGCCAGAGGGATCCAAGTACGAACATCCCAAGCCTTGCGGCTGCCTTCTATTTTGAAACTTTGAACGGCATTCGCCCGTGGCACTCAACCGAATTCCCTTGGCGTTTTGAAGCATGTTATTGAGGGTGCAATACTTGCTTGTGTGCGTGTGTCAGCCCCATAAATGAGGCAATTCAGGAAACTACATCCTAGCCACCAAATAGAAGCTTTGCACCACTGTTTCCGTCATGGGCAGCGGCTTGCGTGGCTCGGGTTGGGAGATTTCAGAACACAACAGGTTGCACCAAGATGCACCAAGGTCCCGGGGTCACCCGGAAACGAGCGAATCCCTTTGTAGATCTTGGGGTTTTGGTGCACCTCAGGAAGGCAAGGCCTTATTTACTTTGATATGATTCGCTGGTGCCAGAGACAGGCTTTCTTCAGGTTGCCCCTCCCGGTAAGACGGGCTTCTCTCAGATCTGGGACGGCTTCAGAAGGCCTCTCGAAGACTCCTCTATACTTTGCTGCACTGCTTTTCAAGCGAGTCAGGGCTTCGGACCTAGAGCCTCACAGCGTCGGGAAGCAGAAGAGCAGCACCCACCCGGCATGTTCCTCCGGATTAATTCGAAGTCAACATTGTCCGTGAGCTACTTTTTTGAGAGCGCAGCTTCAGATGGTGCCACTGCTAGCCTTGGTTGATGGGACCAGGAACGTTACTGGTACTATTGGTCGAGTCATTAGTTAGGGTAGGTTCAATAGACAGATGGATGGATGGATGGATAGATAGATTAGGTGGATAGAGTAGACTAGATTTGATTAGATCAGATTACAGACAGACACGCAGCTGACAGGCAGACAGACACTGACAGGCAGACTGGCAGACAGACAGACAGAAAGACAGATTGATAGATACGTAGATGGTGGCTCCCCCCCCTGCCGACGCTGGTGTGTCCTGTCTTGATTGATGGTACCCTCTTGGGGGCAGTTGCAAAGGCTCAGCCCCGAAGGAACACCGGCTCTTTTTCTAGAGGTCCACCCCTTTCGAGACAGAACAAGGACACCAAAGCGGGCATTAGGGGTTCGTTCTGACACGGGTGCCGGCAAACCAGGCGCCCATTTTCAGCCCCACTGGCCCCGGCACGCCAGGAGGAGGCGGCCCGGCGGCGCGCGGAGGAGCAGCGCCGGCGCAAGCTGGAGGCACGAGAGGCGCGGAAACGGAAGGGGCAGAGGTCAGAAGGGTTGGGGAATCGAATGGCCTTCATTGCAATTCTAAAGTTTCACAACAATTGAACTTTCTTTCTGTGGCGGAAGGAAGCATCTGGCATTTATTGAAAGCGCAACTCATACTTTTCTCTTGCACTGTCGCCTGCGGACAGACACTCCGAAAAAGAGAAACAACATTCCGGGAATTCCGTCACCCGTTGTTCCTTCCCGTGTGTTCCCAAACTTCCCAGCCTTGTTTTAAGGGGATTCGCAGCGGCTGTGTTCTACGTGTGATGGCTTTGGGCTTCAGCCAATGTCGGCATATTCAATAAGGACTGCTGATGCTGCTCGGCCGTTTGCAAAGAGTGAACGACCAGTCAAGAAGCCGGGGAGGGGTGGGTTGTGCCTGTTGCCTTCTTTTAAGCCCTCCCCCCCCAAACGAAACCAAGCCCACAACACCCTATATGCTCATAAGAGAGATCCCTTGCAGGCTGTGGACAAGCTCAAGGACGCGGGCAACCCCAAAGAGATCCAGGCGCTGGGTAAGCAAAGGCTTGTGTACTTCCGGGCTCCAGAAAACATGCTTCAAACTCCCCTTGATTCAGTGAATGCAACATGTGCTGTGGCTTGGGGCACGCGCAGCTTTGGTTTACTTGGGAAAGATGATGGAAATCAGCGCAGGCCTCCAGCAAACCTTGAACCTTTGCGGCGCATTTGCTTCAGCGAACCTGTGCCAGAAAGCCATCAACGCTGGCTTGGCAGCTGGCCTCGCAGAGTCCGACGATGTCATGGCCCATGCCATCCAGCACGTCAAGGCCGGAGCAAAGTTGTTTTTCTCGTTTTGATGAGTGGGGAAACATGCCCAACGACGGCCAAGAGTTGTGCAACGGTCGAGAGCAGGGCGAAGTCTCATTTGAGGACACGGTACATCAGTATCTGCTTCTTATGTGGCGAGAGGTAAGTCAAGCTCACTCTGCCGTAGGTCCTTCACTTGGGGGGAATATGTCTTGGGATTTGTGTTTTGACCCTTATATGGCGGACTGAGGAATTGGAGGAGGTCGAGAAGCTGCTGAAAGAGTTGCTGGAGGCCAATGTCGGGTCAGGATGGGTCAGGTGGGTTGGCCAGTTGGCCTGCAGCCGGGGTGGTGTGGGGAGGGTTGGTGAAATAAAGAAAGCCTTACTGAGTTCTTAGAGATATTCCTTCCTAATTAGGAATAAAATTTGCTGCCTTGAAGTTGGTACCTTTGAGGCCTCCCTGACGCCATCCTTTCGGCAGCCTACTAGAGGGGATTGGAAGGTATGGCCTGGCAGGGTATGGCATGCATGTCAAGCTGTGGGCA